TTCATGTAGTCGTCCGACAAGCTCTTGAGAGACTGCTGTCCTTCTGTGAGCTTGGTTTGGAGCTCCTGCATGTCAGTCAGGAGGGCAGCATACTGTGCTTTGACATTGTCGATCTTGGCCTGGAGTTGAGTCTTCCTCGTGGAAAGATTTTTGAGCTCAGTCACTCGGCCCTTGAGTTTGGCCGCAATCTCTCTTTCGGTGCAAGGCTCTGGTGTGGTCAGCTTGTTGACCAGATCTTGTACTTGTTGAGGTAATGCCTCCATGTGAGATTTGAGTACATCCTTGAGCTCAGGTTCATCAGGCTTTGTCGGTCCAATGCCAATGGCCTGCAAGCGAGTCTGTGTGTCCTCGTTCAAGGTGGTCCAAGTGTTGGCTAGTAGTTCAGTGGCCTCCTGCTGAACTTTGGAGATTTTGAGTGGCTTGACCTTTGGTAAACCTGGCGGAGCTTCTGGCCAGGTTCTTGGCGCTTTGGATAGTCTGCCAGATGGCTTGCCATATCCTTTGCCTTTGCCCGTGGTTGTCGTTGAGGTCAACCACATAGTGCCACATCGTCGACACCTGGCACCTGGGTACATCTTGTCCTCCCAGATCCAGTTGTTGCATGTGGCCTTGCTGCATGGGGTGTAGGCCCTGCGCCAAGCCATGATCACTTCACCGAACACGTTCTGGCCTGGAAAGTTCTTGATGATGTAGGGATCACGGGCAAAGTGATCAGGTAGATCAAGAAGTCCCCAAGGTTGAGGGTGGGTAGGCGGACCTGGTCAGGATGCCAGTGAGGTTGTCCCAGGCGAGATCTTTGCCAGCCACCATAGAGCAAGTCAGGAGCGGCAAAGAAGTAGACGTGGATTGCGAGCAAAGGACGCTCACCCAGGGACACTTCCGTGGCGGTGTGGGCCTCTTGGAACTCAGTGCACTCGTGGTGCTATGGATTTCTTGCGGGGACCAGCTTGAACCGCTTGCGGCTTGAGCCATGTATGTATGTATGTATGTATGTATGTATGTTGTGTATGTTGTGTATGTTATGTATGTTATGTATGTTATGTATGTATGCATGTATGTATGTATGTATGCATGTATGCATGTACGCATGTATGCATGTATGTATGTATGTACATACGTATGTATGTATGATTATGTATGTATGTTTGTATGTATGTAATGTATGTGATGTATGTAATGTATGTACTGTATTAATGTATGTAATGTATGTTATGTTTGTTATGTATGTTATGAAGTTATGTAAGTTATGTATGTAATGTATGTTATGTATGTAATGTAACGTAATGTAATGTAGTGTTATGTTATGTTATGTCATGTTATGTTATGTATGTATGTAATGCAATGCAATGTAATGTAATGTAATGTAATGGTATGTATGTATGCATGTATGTATGTATGTATGTATGTATTTTTTGCACGCCTTTTTGAGTCTGCTTGAGTCTCATGCGAACATCTGTCGCAAATCCCTCTGCTTCATGTAGACGCACCGAGCGCGTAGGCGACCGGAGAGTTGTGGTCTCCCATCTGCCATCCTCGTTCGGGCGTGGCATCTCGAGCACTCGATGCTCTGGCCTGTTCGCAGCATGGTGTGCGAGGCGTGCCCTTCCCATAGGCTCGGCTCCAGTGGCCCATGATAGCACGGTTCTCCAACAAAGCGGTTGAAGGCTTCCTCGTTGGTTCGAGCTAAAATGTAGCTTCTGCAAACGGAGCACATGAGGTATGCTCGATCCAACTGAAGGTGGTGAACACATGGTTGTGGCCCTTGCTGCGATGCCACCAAGGCATGGATCATCTCCATTCGTGTCTGCTTTGGAGGACTCGGAGTGTCCTCTTGGTGGCACTGCTTGTCTGCTGCTTCCTTCAAATCACTAAGCAAGCTCTTGCTGTGATACCTCAAACGACACTGCTTGCACTGGATCCCACTCATTTGTGGCCCGCGGCGGATGGCTTGGTCAACAAGTCACGCAGAATTTCTGCTTTCTGCTGGATGAGAGGGATCTTCTGCTGGATGGAGTCCTCTTTACGATGAAGAAAGTGCTCTTTGTCCTTGAGCAAAATGTTCATCCGCTCACCTGCAATGAGCAAAATGGAGTGAGCATCTTCGTCGATATGTGACTGGAGGTCCAAGATCTCAGTCGGTTCAAACAGCTTTCCGGCGCTCTCAGCCAGCTTCTGCGTGTCCTTCTGCGTGACTCGTCTCATTTCATTTTGCTCCAGCTCTTTGCGGGAGAAAAGCAGGGACCATACATGATCGAAATCTTGGAACTCCAAGCCAGTGAACAAATCTGGGAAAGTTTCAAAGGCAACAAGAGCGCAACTGGAGTTTTCTCAAGAACACGCAAGGCCAAATGCTTCATGGCATAGAAGATTGCCCCCAACTTGGTGGCCGGACCTGGACAATTGCCGGTGATGGAGCCAACCCGCTGTTTGTTGGAGGTCAAATGCACATAGATTGCAAAGGCAAATCGCTTGTGTCTCTTGTCTCCACAGGTAGGAGCAATGGCAATCGAGCAGATGTGGCCTTTTTGTAGCCGGAGCTGACCCAAGTCTTTCCACAGGCCTGTGCCTTCCAACGTGGAGAGGCCCTCTTCAGGTTCATAGAAAATGCGCTGAACCAGTCCTCACTGCCAAAGCTCGGGGTCGGTGCCCACTTCAAGTCGACTGGCCCTTCCAGAACGAGCATTGCCCAAGAAGATGAGTGAAAGTCAGCTCAACTCCGCACAAGGGGCAAGTGTCCAGTGAGGCCATGTAGCGTGCCCTGGTGAAAAGCCCTGAGGCCGGTGGCAATGGATTCACTGGTGGATGTCTGGATTTGTAGGCTGATCATCCAATCTAGTGGCCTTTCCAGATGGTGGGAGCCCTCATAGCTGGTCAAACGGAGAAGTCGTTGCCACCAAAATTCGTGTGTGAGCTTGTGGTGCATCAAAGGCCATGGATCTGTCAGACGCAGGACACAATCCGGTATGCCTCCATAACCTGTCCTTTTCCACTTCTGGCCGTTGGAGATGTCAAAGTCCAGGTCCATCAAATAAGCTTGAAGGGCTTGCAAGGGTCCAGTGGCAACCTGCCAACGGTACTTGGCCTTGTGAAGAGCACCTAAAGCCGTGTTCCAGCTGGTCCAGAAAAGATGCTGCTTTGTCTTTGTGAAATGATGGTAGACTTTCCAGATTGTGTGGAGGTGCTGGAGGATGATAGAGTCCCCTGGATCCGGCTGGTTGGGGCGCATGTCGAAGACAATGTTGTTCTGCAGGATTTGCTTCCTATGGGAAAGGTCCCTCAAAGCTGAGACTTGGGACTCCAACTTCAAGGCCATGTCCTTTTCCGTCTCTGGCGGAGGTTTGGTGATGCGCTCCACCAACTCCTTCACCGCTGTGGGCAGCTGAGCCATGTTCTCTTTCAGGACGTCGGTCAACTCTGGCTCCTGTTTGGGTGGAGAAGGCTTGATGCCTCGCTGCTCCAGCTGCTGTTGTAACTTGGGGTCTAAGGAACTCCAAGAAATGGTGATTAGCTACTTATTCAGGATCTCGAGGGTGTTCGATTGCTGTAGCCTTGAGAGGGTGCCTGCCACGCCAATCCGCATTTCCTGCAGACATAACCCACGCAAAGCTTATCCTCCCAGATCCAGTTCGAACACCCTTGGCCTCGACAGGCCTGGTAGGCTCTCGCCCTCGTGGAAGTTCTCCATGTAGACCTCTCCATGGAGCTTGATGTCAAAGCACCAGCAGAGGATTCCCTCCTTCTCAGCCAGGGCGTGCTTGGTGAGGTCGTGCAGGGCCCAACGAAGGGTTTGAGCCGCCTGAACCCTTGAGCCGTGTGTGTGTATGTAATGTAATGTCATGTCATGTAATGTAATGTAATGTGATGTGATGTGATGTAATGTAATGTGATGTAATGTAATGTAATGTAATGTAATGTAAGGTATGTATGTATGTATGTATGTATGTATGTATGTATGTAATGTATGTATGTAATGTATGTAATGTATGTAATGTATGTATTGTAATGTAATGTATGTATGTAATGTATGTAATGTTTGTAATGTATGTAATGTATGTAATGTATGTATGTAATGTATGTAAAGTATGTAAAGTAAGTAAGTAAGTAAGTATGTATGTATGCATGGATGTATGTATGTATGTATGTATGTGGGTATGTTGGTCTGGTCTGGTATGGTCTGTAATGTAATGTAGTGTAATGTAAAGTAATGTAAAGTAATGTTATGCTATGTATGTATGTATGTATGCATGAGTATTTGTGTATGTATCCCTCACAACAGTTTTCCACCATGCTGCTCCCAAGAGCTAAAGTGCGCCGATGTCGCTGTCAAAAGACCTCCTCACATCCTTCAGAAAAGACATACCCTACCCATGCTAAAAACGTCCAAAATGCGCCAATGGCGATGGCTTTGGCCGGCGCGTTTTTCCCGCCTGCTATTCTGCTTCCAAAAACCTCGACCACGTGCCCCCTCGAGCACATAGCCTCCCCTTTTGACCTCCTATATCATTTCTTGTGATGCCTATACCCCCAGATAGATGTCCTCTCAGCTGCGCCCAGATGTCCAAAAAACAATTCCGGGGCTGCTACGTTTTTCTTCCATGTTACTCTGTTCTGTTTCTTCTTGTTTTCCTTTCGCAAGCCCGTCCCTGTTCTTTCTTTTTCCCTTCCATTCTCTCCCCGGCCCCCTTTCCTGATCGGCCTGGACGAGTTCCTACTTATTATTGCTTCTGGTGGAGAGGGCCTTGCCCGGGCAGATTGCTGGGCTCGCCTGGTAGCTTGTCGCGCTCCGGTGTTTTTCTGCATTTTTTGAGAAGGCCCTATTTTCCGCATGTTCTTCGGTTTTAATATATATATATCTATTTGTTTCGTTTGTTTTTTTCGTGTTTGTGTTTGTTGATGCGCTTTTGCAGTTGTTTGCCTTTTGGTGCCTTCCGGGGGTGACCCGGGCCTAGAGTGGAGACCTCTCACTCCGGCAAATTTGGTAGCCTGCCGGGGGCTTCAAGGCCAGGATTCTGGCCGCGGCCGCTTGTTTGGGCCTTGGCCGAGCCAGGGGCCAACAGCAGGAGGCAGGCCGTGCTGGGCGTAGAGGCCTAGAGGGGCAAGAGCAGCTCTTACAAGCTACTTGTAGCAGCGGCGAGCTAGCGGCTAGCTGCGGTCTTCACTTGGTTTGGTAATAAAATGTAATAAGCGCCAAGTAGCATTGTAAAAAAACACATTTTAAATATTACATTATAGTCACTATGACTATACTATATTGTCCAATCTTTGTTGGGTTCTACTATGCCTGGGCAGCACACAAAGGAACCCCAACAGTCTGCAGTCAGCAAATGTCCTGCCTTGAGTTAAGTCAAGTCAAGTCATTCAAGTCCATAGTGATAGTGCCTTTTCCGACTAAATGGTAGTTTTATTTTGCTGTGCTGTGCTAAGTCGTTGTTTTGGTCCTGTTAAGTTTTGCGCTTACTTATTGCTTTAGCTACAGTTACTTAAGTTCCCGCTATGCTGCAGTATGCCATGCTGCAGTGTTAGTTACAATTACAATTATAGTCAAATCTATAACCGAGCACTTGATCATTGAGGAACCAGCAGTTAGCATAGCTCTAATGGTTTTGCCAAATAAAACACAAAAAACAACATGCAACTACAAAAGGCAAACACAAAAACACATCAAACAAAAAATACAGTTGACCCAAAAACAAACAACAACTATATAATGAAAAACCCTAAAGAACAATTGAAAAAGAACGACCTGATTTGTTTGTTCACCTGGGTTCACTAGTTTCTCGTGCACTGCGCAAAATTGGATTTTAACTTATATAGGCTAAGTGACACCAATGATACATAAATTTGATTGTTGCTGACATACAGAGGCCGGAGATTGCGAAAGTGTATTTGGCAACGTGGTATTCGCACCACGATGACCTGACAAGGTGGGTTGGTTCTTCGTCCATAATGATTGAGAAACAAGAGCACATGTGCTGACCAGGGCTGATAGGAGCAATGGCTTCAAGAATCAGACAGACCTGCAGTGCCAAGAGGCCTTTTATGTTTTTCACGTTAGGCGTTTCTGTTTATACACACGTGTTCCATTGATTGCTTGTGAACGATCCTTGAATAGGTATTGCAACAACAAGCTGAACGCAGTTTCCCTGGTGATAGTGATTTCACTGCAACGCAGCGATTGAGGGATGTGAACAGTGATGATTCCACACGGTACGAGAAGCAGACTGCAGATCATCATAGCCCCCTAATGACACCCCAAAGGTGCTTTCTATGCATTGTCTCATGTTCATCCATCGTGGGATTGGTGCCATTTACAGTATAGAATGCAATGCACGAACCTGTCCTTGCAATCTTTGTATTCTCAGATTCATGTAGACTTGGCTTTAACAGTTTGAACTTTGTTGGCCATATTTACCCAGGCTTCACCAACTTCCTGACGACTGGGCAAAGATGCTTCGTCTCCATCTTAGTGATTAGAAAGTGCACCGTCATGACCAATGGCTTTTTGTGCAGATTGTTGTGGAAGCTGACCAGTGGGGAGCTCAGCAAAGGCGCGGGAATACCATGGCACACATCAAGCCCTGCCAGGGATTCCGCTGGTTGTTGTCTTTGTGCCTTCATCAGCTATGGGCATCTTGGTCAGCAAGTCTGTCTGTAGAAAAAGATTAACATGTGAAGTCCTTTCATATCTGAGGCAAAGCTACACGCGAGAAGGATTCGGAGAGGCAATATCGGCTGCCATATTGAAGGCTGCAATATGGTTGATTTCTTCGCTTAGAAGCGTTTGCGTTTGAGGTCATGCAGCTCTTCGTCCATCCTGAATTCCAACGAAAAGGCTTGGGTTCAAGCTTGCTGAGGGCAGCGTGACATCCTCAGTGGAAGGCCAATGTGGAAGATGGACATAATAGTTGTTTGTTTAATAGCATGTGAGCAATAGCCAAAACCTCCCTTGACATTCATGAAGCATCTATGTCATATCAATCTGTGGCGTAAGAAAAACGTTGTGTTGCATAAGGTTGCGTAAACTCCATGTTGAACACATGTGTTGCGTAAGGTTTGCGTAAGTACTGTTCTTTACAAGAACAAGAAGAACAAAATGTATTGCTTCGTAAGCACATCCTTTGGGGGAACCTTTCGGAATCATACTTGTGTCATGGCGTAAGAACTTGATACGACATAGAGGTTTAATCATACGTATTGGCCGAAGCTCATGTAATTCCTTGCCCGGAGGTGGGGTCTAGCAGTTGTCATGAGAAATACCCAACACATGTGCCTTCTGATTGCACCATATGACCTACCCCTCCAATACCTGGAGCATCTATATGTTGTGTTCCACAAGAGGTTTTGGTAGCAGGCAGGTTATTGCACTGGCAGCTGATGCTGGCTGATGCTTTCCCTTTAATTTGATGAGCTTTTGAAGCAGAGTTTCCTGCAGGCACAGCGTCACTGAAGTCACACTGACTACCGCACAACACCAAGCATACATGTTTTTGCTTGCCCTAAACTCTTTTCTAGTCTTGTAATCATCCCACCTGACAAGCGGAAACTGCGTACATTGTTGCAACGAGTTGGCAAAGCGGAAGCAACACAATGAGACAGTGGGCTACCCTGGGCTGCGAATTGTTGGGCCCTCCTTCCTTATTTTGTCCATCTCCATGGTCAACTCTTGATGTGATAGCTCAGTCTCAGACATGCCCTTTCTTGTTGGTCATACCAGGAATCCTAGTAGCTTCTTGTTCCTAGTAGTACGGCCAAGAGCCCCTAGTAGCGTCCTTGCTCCTAGTAGCGATGCCCTTTGCTCCTAGTAGCCTTTTGTTCCTATTAGCATCATTATATTCTTAGCTCAAGATGTGAAAAAGACAAAATCACAGACTCGGACCAAGACGCACACATGCACTTGTCACCTCTTGAGCTACTCATACCTACGATCAGCCGTCATTGGATCGGCTGTTGGTTGTATTTGATCCGATAGCTGAACCTCATGACCTAAACAACCTTAAGATGTCAACAGTTGAACTTGACAAAATGCAGGTACTTCTGCAAACGACTGGGGGGCGTTCTCGTTGCCCCCTTTAATCTCGGAAACATAGACTCCCAATTAGTTAAAGAAAAAACACTCACACACTCACCAACAACATCCCCTTCGCCAAGCTGCCAGTGTGGGCCAATTTTATCACAAGGTGGAGACACATGCAGAGCAAAGAATGGTCCAGTTTGGGGTGCCATGTATGGCCGGCACCTCAAGCATGGAGGTTTCTGGACTCTGCTGACAGTGTGGCAGTGAGGTGCACGAAAGGGAACCCGGCTAACAAGGTCTATGAACAGGCAGGTGATCACTTTTTTGTCGGATCGTTTGCAAGTTGTTGTGCAGGTTGGTTGGTTTCCAACTGGGAACCAGAAGAGTCATGCGCTTACACATTGAAATTAAAGCACGGACAGGAAGGTTATTGGATGTGTTGATGCACTGACTGATAATGTTGGATCTTAATTTGCATAAACACCCCCCTAGCATCCCTAGCAAACAATCCAGGGGGTCTGAAAAGTAGCACCCCCACAAAACACATTTTTAGTAGTAGTAATAGTAGCAGTAGTGGTAGCAGTAGTAGTAGTTGTTGTTGTAGTTGTTGCAGTAGTAGTAGTAGTAGTCGTCGTCGTCGTAGTAGTAGTAGTTGCGTAGTAGTCGTAGTAGTAGTCGTAGTAGTAGTCGTGGTAGTGGTAGTGGTGGTGGTAGCAGTAGCAGTAGCAGTAGTAGCAGCAGCAGTAGTAGTAGGGCGGAAGTAGACAAATAAAAAATATGCAAAAAGCACCTTCGGTGAAAACATATTATTAAACTATATATCATTAAACTAATCAGGGTGTGTGAATATTTTGGCGAACACTTTGTACTAGTCCGTCCCATTATACTAATTTGGATGCAACATTACTGTTTATAGATTGCATCTTGATGGTTCCATTCAGCAAAGGTCTTTATCCAACATTGAGCAAAGAACCTGTCGTCAGGGGCTAAGATGAGTGCATGTCAGGCATTTCACATGGTAGTCTCGCAGGCCGCTCCGCTTACGCTTGTTGTTGCATTATGTTTCCAGGAAGTTGAGGAGTACATGGCTCTAGACTTGTCCAAGCGGAAGGACAACTTATTCTGGCAACTTGGTTGCTATGAGTGTGCTTCTGTCCCTGGCCTTTTTCAGCCATGCTTCAAGGATTTGGCGGTTGCTTATGGCTCTCGCCTTAATCGTTTGGCGGGAGCTGCACCTGTGACACTATTCATCCCCTCCTTCGGCCGTTTCATGTTTGGTCCAAAGGTCAGACTTTCGCACTGTGGGCAGCCAAGAGCGCGAGTATCATGTCATTTCTAAACGCTGCTAATGTTACTGTACTCATTTGCCGGACTTTCTTCTTGAATTCATAGAAACTGCTACGGACTATTGTATTCCGCTGTCAGTGCTGCTTATATCATACTCAGAGGTGGAAGCTGCTGTGGGCAATGAGGACTAACGCGGATGCTCTCTTGTTCGCCCAGACTTATGAAGTCTAATTTACCTTTGAGGAGTTGATGGAGGATCTCAAGCTGAAGTCAAGCTGAACCATTCACGTGGCCTTAGACAGATGTAACAATTACTTGACAATACGTACAGGGAGGTGTATAGCTTGTGTGGCGTGGAAATGCAGAGCTTCGATCATCGAAGGTGAATCAGCTGCGGCAAGCCCTCTCAAAAAGGGTGCAGCCACTCCGCGATCAGTATCGGTGAGCACTACAAGCGATGGCCTCCAACCTAATAGCAATGGCCTCCAACCTACAGTTTGCAACCAAGCATTTTACTATCAAATTGCAGCGCTTGACTGCTAGCCTTTTCTGGCACAGGTATGCAGATCAATGATAGCAGACACCAGTCCTGGATCAGCAACTAAGGAACACTAAAAGGAATTGCATAGCGGTTCTTGAGAAATCAATACGACTGGAAGGCGTAACTAGTGATATTACATATAATTAAGCATTGCCCTTCCTTTAGGTTCTCTTTGGACCCCACTAACGCTCACAGCTCTATGGAAGTAAGAAGCTGTTGATTTCCCTTGCACGCAATTGCAATCAATGGCATGATCACCCTTTGTGAGCGATCGAGGCGGCAGACTCATAGCAATGCACAGCAGCTAAATTTGTGTAGCAGTGCATCAAAGCAATGCCTCTTCCAAGGAGATGTCCAATGCCGTGGGGAGTCGCATTGGTGCCGACATCTTCTCTCCCCTCCAAAGGGGCACTGCAATCGTGCGGCCCCATGGGCAGCCTATTGCTCAAAGGGTCCTTCGTCATCAACGCCAATCGCAAGGGCCAGAGTTATTGAGTTTCTTGACGCCAATTGAGGAATCCTCAAGCCGTCGCCACCAATTAGTTTGATGAACATGAATTGGGACTGCAAGAGTTTGCTTACCTTTGTGTGGCATGCCAATGTTGTGCCGGTTGTCTATTGGCTAGTTCAACAATGTGATCTATTTCCAACCTACTGCACTTGACAGAAGACGTTTACTGGCCCTGGCTGAGAAGGACATTATTTCAATTTATGTCATCAGATTAAACTTCAGCACGCTCCATGTAGGGCCTAGCTGAGACACCTTACTGTAGGGTCTTTCACACTTACCTTCATTGTGGCCGGCCGGTTGTATCTTGACCATCTCAATAATTGGCCGGCTAATGCAATAGCTGCGTTGCATGTCTTTTCAAAACCAAAGTTTGCTAGCCAATCCTCTTTTTGTTGACAAATTTGCTGAGAATGCTCAAAATGCAGGGTGCCATATTACTGTCGACAGGGGGGCTTGACCTAGCAGACTTAGACGTGTCAAACAGGTAACCATTTTGCGGACGGTATATATAATTGAATCGGTATGTGTAGCTTACACTTCACACACCACCAATCATTACCAACCCATGAGGATCAAGAACTGCCAAATCCATTCTAACGCAGATCGCAGAACTGCCGCGTGACGACAAATTGTAGACGACTTATTGTGACATGTGGTCAGATTTGGGAAAATTTAAGGCATGATCATCCGATAATTGATTGCGTTTTTTTGATCAGCTGAAAAAGTATATACTGTAATATAGTGAGAATTAAACCGAGAGAGGGGAGTTTAGAATCCATTGGTTTTGATTCTGACATGTGTTGCTGTACTTCTGAAAATTGACCGAACAGTTCACTGTCTTGCGGGTGCCAGCTGCCAGCGTGTCAATCAGTCCCAGACTTCTTACGAAGTAAGAATGGCATGGAATCAATCTTCAGGTTGTGGCGTCACATCCTTTGTACTTCCCTGCGCTAGCCTTGGACAGGAATTGCACATCGATCGGTTTGTCGTGTTCGACTCTTCAGGTTTAGCTGGCCCTTGTTGGGTCCGAAGCTCAAGTCAGTACAGCAACAGCAAGGGAGCGAGTTATTTGATCAAAACACTTCAGCACATTTGGTGTTTGTTGCGTGTTCCCACATTTTCCCACAGGCTGGGAAGAGAAGTGCTGGAAGCCGACTGAGCATAGGCTTGTTGCAAGCTCTTCACCAAAAATATGAGCAGCGGTCAAAAACCTATAGTAAGATTTTTTGAAAGGTGGTATGGAAAATGATTAGGCTTAGGATGTGGATTGTAAGTATTGGTTTAGTAGCGGGCCCCCAGCAGAATCATGCAAACCACCAAGGCAGCGCTAGATTGGCGCTAGGTTCGCGGTTGATTTTTTACTAGTCTTTTGAAATCAACATGATTCATTTGGTTTGGTTCATGAAATCCTGCGCATCTTGCGGGGGAATGCTGCAACTGACTGACGTAGATTAGGCTGTGTGCTGACATGCTTTTGGGTGTAGTATATCATACTGGGGAAAATACAGAAGTGACCTCTGTGATGTGTGTTGCTGTTACCTCAAGCCGGAAAGAGTTCTGAGTCTTTTGTGCGCTAGATCCGCGCCAGCATTTGCGCTAGGTTTGCGCTAGCACATTTCTCAAATGTGATCAGATTCAGATGTCCATTTGTCCTGGAAGCAGATCTTCGCCATTACTACTTGGAAAGCTTGTGCCCATGTCTCTTTTCCTATCAAATTCTGCACAGCATGGCTAGCTTAGACAACAAAAGGTCATCAATGAGTTAACAAAGGCCTTCGCGCTAGCTACGTTTGCAACATTCTGCACCTCTGATTGAAATACTTCACATTTCCATACATCCCAGATACCCTCTCTGAAATGTATTGAACAAGAAGCGGGCCCCCATCAGAATGACTTTTACAGCCGCTTTCGGGAAAAGACAGGTTGACCACCAATCATAGAATCACATATATATATATAGAATGGAATCTGGCCTGCAAGTTGGTTTGCCAGGAGCGAATCCTGCGGCAACAAGGAAGTAGGGGACCTCAGTTAGTTTGTGGAAACAGAAGAAAAGCAGGCATATACCTCCCATGGCTGTCAGCCAAAGCCAAGGATTGGCTATTCCCAACTTCATGATGAAGACGAGGCGTTCTCCAAGCAAGGAAACAGTTTATTGCTGTTATAGATCAACAGCCTTGGTCAGGATGAGGGTCCAGTCACCACCGTCCTGGATTTCAGCAACACAGAGGAACGCCTTCAAAAAATCAAGGACCCTGCTCAAAGACCTAGCCTTACAAGCGGATCACGTAGTATGTGTTTGCCTGGATTTGTTGCCTACAGGATGCGACGCGGACGCCAGTGACTCTCCTCAGCGGGTTTCTAGGATCAGGCCATGAACTTGAACATCTTCAAGAAAAACTGCATGCGGGCAAAACATGCTTTTGCTGCACAATGTTTGCAGGCAAGACCTCACTCTTGAAAAATATTTTGGAGAACCAGGAAGGTGTAAGTGGGAAGCTCAGGAGCGAAGTGACAACATAGGAAAACACCCGACACCCAGCCTCATTCTGCTGGCAATTGATAGTATTCACACTCCTATATGGCAGGGTCGGCAGGGTACGAAAATGTACAAGGTGTGCAAAGCATCTCAAACAGATTGCACAACCAGCTAGGACGCTCAGGGCAGGTAGGTGAAAGAAGCTAGATGTCGTTCATGCAAAAATATCCTCTAAAATTGTTTATTTCTTAATGTTTTTTGCAAGGACAAGGAAGCAGGTATTTATGATGTCTTCCCCCTCCGTTATAGCTTTGAGAGTTCTCTTTGAAATGCATGCACTGATGATCACTCATGCTTAGATGTTTGACAGAGATTTCTTGGCTTATGAAAACCACAAAGTGAAGAGTGGTGTGTGTGTGACAGCAAATCAGTCTGAAATCTGAAAGGATCAGGCAAGCAAGGCAAGGTCCATGCAAGGTAGCATGTTTAGTGTAGGGCGTAGCATCCAAGCTGTGCAGAGGGCTGGGAGTCGTGGTCAATGATGTCGCGGCGGTCAACATCGACGCGCAGCTGATTCAAAAGCCCGCTTGGCATGTATATAATGTCGTTGTTCAACGGAAATTAGAGTACAACGTGTCGCACCTGAAATCATTCTCAAAGTTGAATTCGAAAGTGTTTGTCAATTTTACATGTGCAGGTACGAACAAAATGGAACCATTGAAATTGCTGAACTTGCAAATGGCTGTGTGCAGGACTTAGCATAGAAAACATGCAGCTTAGCCTAGCCATCAGGCAATATGGGCACTTGACCAAATGACTCTTTTTCTTGCTCCTTCCAAGAATGATGCTTTTCAGGAGTGGTCAAACGCATCGAGAAAGCTAAAGCTCCTAGTAGCGATGCCAGAAGTAGCTTATTGTTCCTAGTAATTGTTATTCTAGTCTGGGGAATTGGTGACAACAGCTGGTTGGTGAGGTTTGCTGCACTGCTTCCGACGACTTGGTGGCATCAGTACAAGAGCTGGTGAACAGAGCGTACTCAAGGTGTGACGCACAGTGACCTTACTCGTACCTTGATTGATCACAACAATCAAGGCTGAACTATAGAAAAAACAAAGAATGCAGTGACAAGCGAAAAGAACAATAACATATTAAAAGGCCTGAAGACTTGCAAATAACAAGAAGATAAACGCTGTCCAAGTTGTTGTAATTAAACAAATTGATGGTGCATGATGTTGTACGTGTTCCACGGCATCACTGCTGCTTGCGGCGTAAGTTAAAGGCAAGACCTGAAGCTGCAAGTAGTAGCAAAATGTCTCAAGTTTTCTTAGTTGTTGTCCATAAAGCATTATTGTGTTATTGCATACTAGTGTTCCCAGCAATGAAAAGCATTTCCCAGGCCTTTCCACCATGTGGTAATTGAGCTCAGTGGAGTTGGCGAGCCAGATTCTCGGGTCCTTGAGACATTGTAGCCGTGAACAAAATGGAGGGAGAGGAGATTTAAGCCTCAATGGTGTCGCCACATCCTTTGCTTGGTGTCGCCACACTTTGACCACATCCAACGTAATCCAACTTCATAACTTGCTATATCGTCCAATGATGTCCAAGTCCAAGTTGAATGCCATCGATTTCTCAAGGCCAGAAGCTATCAAACGACATTGGGACATCGGAGTAGAAGTAGGCAGGGGAGCACATCTTTGGACAGGCTTTTCCTAGTTGCACATCGTTGACCTCATAGTGCACACCCTTTCTGATAATCGATGGAATTTGCAGGAATGCCTGCAACATTGATGACAGAAATCAAACGCACTATTGCTGTGGTGGATTCGAGCCTCTTTGGCAACGACTGGATCGACAGTCGGAAGGCAGTGCTTTTGAAGTGCTGCTGCCAGCCTGTAGCATTGGTACATGTTGGTCTTGATTTCCCCTGCGTGCCAATAGCGAACACCTTGGATTTCTTTCAGGCGACGGCAAGAAATGAAGAAGGAACAACGCATTCGAGTCAGATCCTGAATCTGGCACGAGAGGGAAGCGTGAATATGAATGCTTGGCCTTGTTTTGATGTACAATTGTTTGCTGTTTTGAGGTCTTGAAACTGTGGGCCAGTTACTGGCAAAGCAAGTTGAAAAAGCAGATCTTTTGTGAGTGGCTGAGCAATGAAAGTGTGTTTTTGTCGTCTTAAGAATTCTCACAATGCCCCATGATTAATCCTGAAGAAGGGCCACACATGCAAAATGGTGCTGAGGCTAATGAACAAGATAGACTTGGCCAGCAAAGCTGAACTTGAAACAACAGAGGAGGCAACATAATTTCAGACCATGTCAATGTCAGACCTTTGACTTTCCATGCTTTGTCCTGGTGCATTCTATTAGGAATCTACATTGATTGTAAGATCGTTCAATAGTGCGGGTGATGGTCCCTACTTGTATCTCCTGGAATCTTACATGGGATGATGCTGCAACCGTTGCAGGTTCTTCATGCACTAAACCCAACGGCCGAGCTCATTCGCTGTACCTATGGGAAGGTCTGGTAACTGATGTGTTGTGCACTGCTTTGGCACAGCAAAGTAAGCACAACACACTGACACATGTTTGAAAAAGAACATGAAGAGAGCGACACATTTCTTGGCCGCGGCCAAAGACTTCAAGCATCAACTGGTAGCTTTTGTGTTAAGATGCGTGTGTGTGTGTGTTGCATTTGGAGCTCAATTGCAATTTGCATTCCATACTTTCGGAACTGTGTTAAGTCTTGCTGCAGGTAAGTCCCATTGAGCTCCTTCCCGAAATTCCTCATGGGCTTCAGTATCCTGAATTTGGTAGAGGCCAGCAAAGCCAAGTAGCAGCATGTTTTCATGTTTTGTGCATTCACCATGGTTCATATTGAGCATTTCGATGCAATGCCTTTTGTTTCAAACTACCTGCTAACTTGAGCACGAAAGGCTTCCGTTCTCTTTCAGGCAAAAATTACCGCTGGGCTCAAAATCCGCAAGTTCTCCAGATCCGTGTCAAGGCCTCCTGGTTCTCCCGGTTTATTTTTGTTTGCCTCCCGGTTGTTCAACTTGATGACTCCAGTTGATGTTCGTTCTTTAAGGTGCCGCCGGAGACGAAATCCAAAGACATCAACTTTGACATCGGAAGGACCTGGCTGCAGATTTGGGCTCCAAACTCAGAAACATATTCAAACATTCAACCAAAGCGAATATGTATTCATGAGTCATCTTGAGTCACGTTCTTTTCTCTTTGGGTGCTTCCATGAACTTCTTTGTCACCTGAGATTTTGGGCTGCAAGGTCAAGGGAGAAAAGGTGCCCCGACTGCAAGGAAAGCTCTTCGGCCGCTTGAAGGTGAGCCGTGAAGATGCGGACCTTTGTTTCTCGTTCTTTGCTCTCTACTGGTACCTTTAGTCGCTTTAGTATTCCGATTCTTTCTGATTGTTTTCCTATTCAACATTTAGACGAGCAGATCTCCTCCTGTGAGGGCATCGAAGAGTGGATTTGGGAATTGGATGGAGAAGGTGCAAGTGTGTAAGGTTTCTACATATCTATATAATTCTTTGAACTGAACCAAATCAGAGAATTGCAAAAGGCGATGATCGGCACGTTGCCGTCTTCCTAGAGAAGACCCATGAGGTAGGATTTCATCAGACACGCCGATGCCTCTGAAGAAGCAGCCCGGCAGGGATTGTGGGAAGATCTGTGGGAGAAGCAGCAGCCAAATGAGCCAGCGTTGGCATCTTAGAGGTAGAGAGCCTTTTTTCCCAAGGCCCCGCATCCCTACTTAATGAAGTAGGCGCTGACTTAATTAAGTAAGGAGGTAAGCTACTAGGCTAAGTTAGCTTCTAGTAGCTGGAAGCAGGATAGCTCACGCTAATCTTTTGTTCCTAGATGTTCAGGGAAACGTAACTAAACCTTTGTTCTCCGAAACTCCCTTGGAAAGATAGTCAGAGATCGAACTGCACAAAGGATGGAGCATGAACCGGTAGCCGCTGCAGAAGCTGCAGCCGAAGTAGGCATTTGCTACTTCCGACAGTGACGTACTTCGGCATTTGTTTGACTTTCTATCCTGAAAGGTGAAGCTGGAGCAGCTTTGTGCGCACCCAGTGCTCCACATGGATTCCAAGTCCAGCAGCAATCCTTGATCTACAGAAGCGCTTCTGCTCGGGGCCACCTTGAATGCCTGCCTGTGAGGATAAGGCGAAGAAAAGCTCAAAGCAGATTTGGCAGGACCCTGAGGCTCCGTAAGTTCAATCAAGCGCAGTAAATCAGATGCTGCATCGAGTTGTGGCTTGGAATGGGGCCAAGGAATTCGCACCTTTACTTACGAGCGACGTCGCCCATTCAACGCCTCAAGATTACAGAGGCCGAGCGAGGGAGGGAGGGAGGGAGGGAGGGAAGGAGAGTGAGGGCGAGTGAGGGGAGAGGGAGAAAGATATGAGTATGAAAGCGCATTTGTATAAACGTTTTAAAACGTGTACGGTATACAGTACCCCAAATAACATTATGTAATATGTGCGAACAATTTTCAAGCTAAATCAGAGTAGCTATGTACAGCATCATAGACACCACTGAACATATGTGAGTGCACTGCAGCCCCTTTGAGAAGAAGTGCGTATGGTAGCGGAGCTGAGAAAGAGGTAACCCCTCTGGAGCTCTGATTGAAAAGCCCCTAGATCACTGGGATCCCGGGCGCGATTGTGAGCCATAGATTTGTGGCCTTTGGAACCCAAACAGCTCTGTACCCAGTACATTGTGTCAAAGAGACATTAGTACAAGGAGAAGATGGAAGAGATTAGAGAAATCCTTTAGACTATACCACAGAGAACGCTGGCAGCATCATAGCAACATAGCAACGTTGGTTAAAGCTGATAGCAAAGCCCAACATCTTAGACCACAAGTCACAGGATGAGGAGATCAAAGCGTTTAGGGAGTGGGCATGGGTCTCTGAGAAGTACTTGAGTGCAGTTGATGAGGGCTACATGAAGGACTTGAAGGAAATGCGTGAAAAGCCAAATGACAAATTTGACATGCACTTGGCAACTGAGGCAGAGAAGACTAGATGCATCAAGCTCCATGGATAGTTAGCTTCACTGATGAGAGGCACTGCAATTGGTGAAAACTGTTGACGACCCCAATGGATTTGATGCCTGGACGGGTTTGAATAAAGCTTTGAAACCAACTTCAAAGGCAAGAGGCTTGGCACTCTTGGGAGCAGCGAGCAGCTACTACATGGCCAGCATTTTCAATGAATAGTGCACTACAACCTCAACTCTTGAAGCTTGAAGAGGTACTTGTTGAGACTGTCAAGGCAGGGACTACAATTCAGGAAGAGTTGAAATCTGCTATTCTTTTGAAATGTGTAGGTGGACAACCCAAGTCCTACTTGAAGTTGACACTTGGTGACAATGTTCAATACTCAACTTTGAGGGAGCATGTGTTGCAATGGGATAGATCTCAACAGAAGTGGGCTACTTCCATGGTGGCTAGTGTCCAGTAGCAGCACTAGTAGCAGTACAGAATGCCAAGGACCTATGCCAATGGACGTTGATCAAGCCCAAGATGCCACAGGAAAAGGTAAGAAGGACAAGAATGACCATCAGAAGGAAAAGGTAAAGATGCCAAGGGCAAAGGAAAGAAAAGAAAAGGACATCAGAAAGGAAAAGAAGGTGATGATAAGGGTAAAGGCAAAGGAAAAGACCAGAAAGGCAAAGGTGTGGCAGCGTGTTACACTTGTGGAAAGCCAGGACATCTTGCTACAGACTGTTAGAGAAACAATATTCGACAGGTAGCGAGTAGCCATTCATCTTCAGGAGGAGCATCAGTGACAACTCATACAGTTGGTCAACAACATGCTAGTGTGAGCCAACAAGGGAGCGGCTCAGCAGAGACGAAACCTGTAGTCAGGAGAATTGCGAAAAGTGAGCCAACCATCTTTGACTTGATGCAAGGAGATGAAGAGCTAGAAGATGAAGGAGTTAGAGTAATGCACTTCTACATTGGAGATGACGATGATGATGATGATGAGCCAGAATTCCACGAAGTTGAAGAAATTTACATCTCAGATGACGAACCCATGGTGAGAAGACTGTGGCCATCATTATTGACAGTGGAGCAGACGTAGCATTAGTAGCATTATTCCCTTTGAGTATGGCAGATCATGGGGAAGGAGGGCTACAATTCAGTACAAAGACCAAGCTACAAGATGCCCAAGGAAATCGTATCCTCACAGGTGCGAAAAGTGTTGAAAATTCCTTGCATGACATTGATGGGCGAGAAGTTCTTCTCAAAGAGAATGCGATCTTCAGTTCCAAAGTAAATCAGCCCATACTTTGTTTTGGAAGGTTGATGGAACACGGGTGGGGAATCAACAGCAGAGCAGCAGAGAGCAAATATTGGAGGATGGTGCTTTGAAGGTACCACTCAACCTACAAAATCGCTCTTTGACAGTTCAAGGCCGCATTGGAGTCCTTTTGAGATGAAGATGAGAACTGCTTCGAGGCGCAAGCACCTGAAGCTCTTGAGAAAGAAGCAGGTTGGAGATTCAATGAACATGGACTGCTGGTGGGAATCTTAATGACTTCAAAACTTGTGGATCCCACAGTCATTCCAGAAGTGGAACAATCACCAGATCTGAGGAGAACGACCTTAGTGAAAAGAGGAGGTAGCTGGCTAATGCCTGAATGTTGTGAGAGCATGAATAAAAGGGAGGAACTTGGTGAGGAATTCTTTGATGATGATGCAGTCGCTCCTTCACTCACAACCTTCACAGCGACGCCAGAGGATTTGGGATTCTTGCACCAGGATACAAGAAGCTTGAGAACAGAGGAAAGAAAGAACGAAGTGCAGCAGACACAAGAAGAGATTATAACCCTACTCCACAGGAGAAGGAGGTAGAAGGCCAGAAAGAAGATGAACAGAAAGAAGATGACCTTGAGTGTGAACTACAATTGAGCCCAATGGATGTAGACAAAGTCTTGGTGAATGGAATAGAGCTGACTAAGGGCATCTTTGGCAACTCTGAGAGCAGCTTGTTCATTTCTCGGCATTTCAGGCAGTGGCTCTACGCTGAAGGTCTTCACTAAGGTCTTCAATCACAACAAAAACATTGAATTTTTGAATGCCAAAAGCTTGGTGAGTGAAGCAGGAGACTAGAGAGGCATTGGGATAAAGTGCGGCAAAGATGCCAGATGGAGCAACTCGAGCAAGGCACAGATTGACGCGCATGCCATATGCCAATTGGTGCACGGAGTGCATTGAACATCGAGCACGTCCAGATCGCCGTGAGAGAACAGAGGGAGTGAAGAGAGGAAGTATTCCTGATGTATGCTTTCACTTTTGCTCTACAAGAGCAAGAGACTCAGAAACAAAGTCAGCAAGAGCAGTATGTTGTCTAGTTGCAACTGACAGCCAAACTGGATTCATTCATTTTGCGCCATGAGGGAGCAAAGGCCAATGTCGTCCAATTGCGCAAGAACTGATGAATTTCAATCAGTTGTTGGTGTATTCAACAACCAAATACAGGAGTGACAATGAACCCACAACAAGGCAAATCCTCAAGATGCTGATCAATGCTCGCCACAGTCCATGACTCACTACCAGACTGGTTAACTCAAAGTTTGGAGATCGTTCATTTCTGTCACAGAACACAGTAGACAGGGTGAGAAAGCTTGCAGGAACTTTCTATAAAGGCTTGAAGGTGTGCAGTCAAGACTTGGTATCAAAGTTTGGGTCAGACCATTCACGTTGGACTTGGGCAGCAGGACATGCCAGTTGGGTTCTGAATAGATTTCAGCCAGTCAAAGGTGCAACTCCCGATGAACCTGTCCATGGCAAAAGTTACAAGGGGCTTCTAGCAGAGTATGGATGGCATGTATGCTTGCTTTTGGGAAGGTTGAAAGGCAAGACGCCTATGCGCTCACAGATGGAGCGCGGGTAGCGCTTAGCAAACGCATCAGATGAACAGATCAAGATTGGTCCAAATACTTACCCATACATAAAGCTTCAATGCATTTTCACGGGAGTATCAAACCAATTTTGGAGGCACTTACCAGCAGGGCGGCCAGATATTCCTCGAGAACATGCGATGGTGAAATTCAGAGATGAGGACGCAGAAGCAGTCATGGCCAAGGCACTGGAGGAAGTGATTCAGAGAAAGCAGGTATTTCCAGAGCCAAAGGAGATTCCAGCCCCGCTGGAGATTCTGTTGAAGCAATGAAAGAGATGGAGGCGAAAGCCTAAAGAAGAAACACCAAATAAGACGCAGAAAGTTCTCTTCGCAGATCAGAAGACACGCGAAGAAGTGAAGGCACTGCCCTCTACATCATTGCCAGCAGGACAGCCAAATCCAATTACTCCTATACTATCTTCATTGAGATCACCATCCGCGCCATCAAGACCAAGAGAAGCATTTGAATTGCTTGAGGAGGAAAGCCCAATGAAGAAACTCAAGCCATCAGATGATTCAAGCAAGAAGGCAAAGATCAACGTGGTGAAAGTTGGAGGAGAAGATCTTTACCACATATTCGAAGAACTATCCCCAGTTGCAGAAGAAGTTGGACGCGTGAAGAATGGGGTGGTGAAGAAGCAGGTGACTCAGACTTAGAAGAGATCAATGGACCTGAATGCTTGTGGTGTGATGGAGAATATGAACCAGAAGGAGTCAGAAGAATGGGTTGACAGAGTAGCTGATAAAGTGGAGGAGAAAAGACTCCAGAACACGCAAGGAAGCACGCAAGGAATCAGTTACTTGACAACGCGCAATGTGTATGACTAGAGGAAGAAACCATATCAACTGGAGATGGTATTTCAGTCAAGAGGTGGGAGAGAAGATCAAGACTAGTTGCAAAATTTTGCTTTCGCCGAAGGAAAGATACATGACATTTTCTCACCAGCGACTTCAGCACATGTACTGAATGAAGCTTCTGCCCGCAATATTCTTGCAGAGAATCAGCAAAGAAGATGAGGCAAGAGAGGGAGAAGGAGCGTCCTCACTGTTGAATTCTTCTGTAAGGTACTCTGTGAAAAAGTCAAACCATGCTTTTGCTCCAACTCTTTGTCCAGGTAGACTCCTCTTCACTAGGAATTCCTCTCCCCTCACATCATTTTAGTGCTGGGTGTCCATGCCGAGAGTTTCATTTTGATCCATGTGGATGACTTGATTCTAACAGGAGACTCAAAGTACATCAATGAAATCTTTCTTCCAAAGATTCAAGGCAAGTTCGACACCAGTGTGAGCAAGATTGAGAAGATTGGAGGTGAGTTCAACTTTCTGGGGAGAAAGTGCAAACTTGAAGTTGATGGACTATGCATCCAACCAGGCAACTACATCCAACAGACGTTGAAAGCCTATGAATAGCAGATTGGACCTGTCAAGCTCCAACAACTACCGGCAGAACTCATTCCAGATGGAAGACAAGTCAGAAGTCTCGCGTGAGCCAGAGAAGAGATTCGCGTTTTCAGAGGCATTGTTGGATCAGGTATCTATCTATATCAAGAGAGGTATGATGTAGCATTCACAGTGAAGGTCGGACATGTCACGTGTCTTATCTCCTGCGCCACGGCAAAGCTTTTGTCGCGCTATGGTACGTAGCGCGTGGCTTGGCCTGTTGTTAACATTTGTGTGGGCCTGCAGTGGCTTATTTTCTATATAATGAGGAGTGAACAAGATCTATGGTTTGGGTCGGCCCCCTATGGTTGGTTCAGATAGGAAAGAGGAAGGGGGCAACCCTGACCATCCCCAAGAGGTGCCTCTCTAGCAGCAAAAACAAAGGTCTACTAAAGGTCCAACGCTTAATTTCCAAAAAACGTTGTACGAATTGTTTGCGCACGCGAGCTCCAGGCAGGAGCTTCCTGTCGTTCTAACCTACTAAACTCAGTTCATACGCCCCTCACGGCCCCTCACTTAACTAGTGCTGTCCCTTGGCCACCGCGGATGTCTGAGGCTCATTGAAGTGTGGCCTTTGCCAAGACGGGGCAACAAAAAGTTTTGTATAACAGACCTGCAGTCGAAAGAGGCCGGGGTTGGGGCCTTTGGGGGATGAGTCATTCGGATAAGTGCTGGTGTTTTTTGAGGAAGCGCCTGCGGCCTAATTTTTTTTGTTTGATATGTTTCCTTGTTTTGAGACTGAAGCAGATGAAGAGGTCAGAGCTGTCATGGCCTCAAATGAGCATTGAGGCCCTTTGGCCTTGGGATGCTTTGGGTCTTCACTACCTCTTACAACCAGTACTGCGTAAGAAAAAACTGTTGTTTTCTTGTGGCAAGGTGGTGCTTCTACGAAACATGTTTCCAGGATTCCTGAGCTCTCTGTGTCCCATGCCATAACTCTCGTGTTTGCATTCAGTTACGAGTTTGTCATATGTGCGGAAAGAAAGCCCTGCGGTGGGTAGGTTGCGTAAGCCTTTGTGGTGCGTAAGGTGCTGACTTGATACAAACATGCTTTGCATCACATTTGACTTGGTGCTGATTGGGTTTCTCTTGGGAAACGTTCCATAGGCACCTCACAGGTCCAGGAGAATCGTGGCACTTTTGTGCGCAAGGCGCGCATAAGCTCCGGCGTAGGCTGCGCGGATGTCTCATGTCAATCCATGAGTAGTAGCCCACATGGTTCCCTAAACCAAAAGCCTTTTGCGAACTGCTGGTGCCAACAGCAATGCATCGCGGACCAGGTCGACAACATCTTCAAATGTAAGTGCCATGTAAATGAGCTAGTCGAGCTAGTCCCTTTTCTACCATTTCGTTGTTTGCTTGTTCCATTGCTGTACAAAACAAATCGCGTAAGATCGCGTAAGCATATTCCTCACAGGTTCGCAGAAAAGTGTGCCAAATCCAGCTGCGCAAGGCCTCGTAAGCGTTTGGTTCCACCCAAATGCCGCGTAAGGCAAACTGCAGAGCCCATAAGAAAAACAATAAGCGCTGCGTAAGCACCCTCTTACAACACAGAAATCTAGGAGCAAGAACGCTACTAGGGGCTCCTGGCATCGCTACTAGGAGCTCCTGGATATCGAGCTTTTTCAAAGCTGACGTGGTCTCGCCTCGAATCGATGCTCCAAGGCCTTGAAGCCCGTCCTACGCTCCAAAGGCTTCAGCTGGGTCGACTCAGAGCCTTTCCGCGTCTTGGCCTTAGAAGATGCACGACTTGACCTATAGAATGACAATGGAAACACGGAAAGGGCATCAAAGTTTCAAAGAGAAAGTCATGAGTCTGAAAAGTTGCCGCGGTAAGCAAGAGCAGTCAGGGGCAAGACGGTAGTCTGTAGTAAAGCGGCGGGTGCGGGTTTGTGCTGCTTGGCGTGCTGGTGGCAAGTCTGATAAGTGTTTATTTTAGGAGGTGGCGTGCATTAGCCTGACATTGGGGACGGATTCTGAGCGTACAGAGCACATTGTCAGGGCTGTGGACGAGTGGCGAGGGAGATATTGTGTCGCGTGATACTTCTAGGAAAAGTAAGCTCAATAGAGACGAGTGTTCAAACTATGGACGGACTTCCAGATTTCTACAGGAAGGTACTCAAAAGTAGAGAAGTCTAAAGACATACTATCCAAGCTATTCCACACTTACTTATATATATGAAACAATTGGAGATTGAGAGAAGATTGTATGAAGCGGTATCGAAAGGGAAAAGCATTGTTTAAAGTTTCTATAGCAGCAAAGTATCCAAACGTAGAGGTTTCTACTTCGCACGGCAGCACAGACTTTGGTGTTGCTTGATGTCCTTAGTCGGTTGAACAAAACAAACTGTGTAGTAACGTGTACTAGTTCGCTTCAAACTCAATGCCGTTCCACAAAGGCTTGAAAGACAGCTTACAGTAACGCTGATTGTAAAGATATTGGTAACTGTTGTCCTTACTACGACTAGCTCAATGCATTGCGGTCTTCGGCACCCATGCTTGCGTGCTTCGTGCTTCGTATGAATTTTAATTCAGCTCATTCTATTATGGACCAAACTTCCACCAGTGTGTTAGAGTTCAACATCAGAATAAAAGGACAAAGCAAAAGACGCAGATGCACTAACTCTTACTTAGGTAGGACGATGATATGGGGGTTCGTTTTTCTTGAAGTGTATGCAGCATACCGTACCCCAGAGTCAAACATCTTGGCCCCGGAACATTTCAAGACATACACAAATATCTAGTTGCCTTTTGATTTTCAGAAGGGCGAGGTTTCTCAAACAAAGGACCTAAAGAGGCCACGTTTGTATGTTATTGATGATACACCCAAACCAATGTTCAAGCAAGTCGTGCAACTATAAGGCCAGATAATGCAACGCCCTACCAGAAAAACCTCACTTGCAGGTTGGCTGGGCTAGCTCGACACATCTCGACAAATTGAAACTCGAACTCCCATTTCTTAATAGCCTAAGGCCTAGGGAGGGCCTCACCGACAATCATGACGAGCGTGTGCGTGTGTCTGAATATGTGCCTAGTTCTATATGTGCCTAGTTGGCTTCTTTGAAAAGGGTCACTCACCAAAGTTTCAGAATTGAATCAATACCCAAAAGTAGATAATTACAGCATGCATGCAGAGAGTTGATTGTCCAAAGCAGCCAGTATCAGACCAGAGAAGCCCACAGCACAGTGGCCCAAAAGAATAGCGGAACCGGTGAGTCTCAGGCAGTTTGCAGTGGCCAGCCGTACTGCAAAGCAATTGCAATTGCACCGTCTTTGTGCCAATGGGGTTATCTAATGTTATCTAAGAGATTCTAAGAGTTATCTAGTTCGAAAGTGTCCCTAAAAGTCTAGGAACCAAATGAATAGTGCGAGCGCTTCTTCAAGGAAGCTCCCCCGGCCCTCAGGCGGGCGTGAACTATCCTGCGTCCTAGGTAGTAGCTACTTGAGCTACTTGCTACCAAGCAACTATCTCCCTCTACGGCCTACCCCGCCAGGCTAAAAAACTGATTTGATACGTTCACAGTCATTCACCGTCAGCAGATCCAACGAGGTCAATGAATGGTCTCACGCTGGCAGATCACTGTCAGTGATACCGCAGGTCTCTGAGCAATAGTGGTGGCTTTGCTTACTTTGCTTAAAGCTGATCTGCATTTGCCAGGATTGGTGGTGGTCTGTCCTCAAGCCGGACCAACTCAACTTCCAAATTTGTCACAGCCATAGCTTGCACGAATGCTCTATAGTTTTAGTACTGTGACAGTACTGTGGTCAAACTTTTATAGAGCTGCAGCACGAGTGCTATGGATCGACAACGTGAAAGGAGCAGAATATTAGTCTTCGCAGATTGCTTGAGGTTATCCAGGTGCCAAAGGCATTTTTGAACGCGCTCGTCGTGAGAAGTGGCAGGAGATGATGCTTCTGTGGGGTTAAAGGGCAGCCAAGGCCCACTTGCTTCACAGGAAAGAATCTGATGTTTGCAGGAGCCTTGGGGCGACCGACGGCAAGAGATTGTGTTTATTGGCGGACCGGACATGAGCAACGTTCGCATAAGCAGGCCCGCCTCTCAGTTGCTGCATGTGAAGACCAATATTGAGCAATAGCTTTCATTTGGGCTTTACTAAAGTGGTCTACTGTGAGCAGGATGGGCCTCCCTCAAAAACCCGGCACCTTTTGATTTGCGGCTAAAGTAGTCTAGAGTCTAGACATGATACTAATTTAAAGTAGTCTACACTAGATGGGGGCCTCCCAAAACAGATATGTCAGATATGTATATATATATAGCACACTTGAGTTAAGTATTAGCGTATCAAATATGAACTTCGCATATGCATTTCCTGACGACACGAGTGTTTGCGACAGAAGCTGCAGATTTTATCATTTTGTTAGGGTCCTGGATGATTGCTTGGTCACCGACGATGAGCTCGAAGACTTCAAGCAACGTGAACACTTCGGTAGATATGTGTGTGGATGCGTGATAAGCAGCAGCATGTTGGTCTTCCAGGTACCATGGACACGCACCCACCTGATACGTACTTTGGTGTTGAAGCCCGCCTCTGAGATGTGGAATGCATCAGACGGGTGCCTAGATTTGTTTAATTTTGCTGAGGGCTTGTTGCGACAAATGGGAGAAGATCCAGAAACGTTTCGAGGAGGCCACAGCGATAGCTGTATGTCTCAATCAGTGTTTGAGGTGAGGATGCAAGGATCCTTCTCCCACACTAAGGCAGCCCAAAAGAGGAGAATGGCACAATAGATGCGATAGCCTGAGAGTATTCCACGAATCACAGATACAATTGAGCCGCACTTGCGATTCGGAAGCTTGAGCCCAGGTTTCCGCGGTGCCTCCATGAGAACACTCAAAAGAGAACTGCTCGTGTGTGCAAAAGCATCAAGCGGCTTTCAAGGTCTGATTTCTTGGTCGAGCCAGTCTGTATTGATCCATTTATATACTTCTAGTGGACACAAGTCTATAACTGTCGAGATATAGCATAGCTGCATGACATGGGTTTTAATGCTTTAACCCTTGTGGCAGTGACAATGCAATTGTTTTCTCTGTTGCTGCAGATTTCAATTCAAGCATAGATGGGGAAATTGGTACAGTCTTGTGCATGAGGCGCCACATGTGTTGGTACATGTGGTCCACATCTCTCATACTCTTGGCCAATCTTGTCAATACAGCTGCGAGATGCGATTTGGAGATTCCGCCAAGACCAAGGCAGGAGAAGAAGCTCAAAGTGATGAAGAGAAAATGGGTGTCTCATCAATTGGTGTCTGAGGTGGCAGCGATTCTCCTTGAAGATGTCTTGATGTATGATGTAGAAAGGTATGAACCTGAGTCCTCCCCTCTCGATGACCTGAGGGCCTTGTCTTTGGAGGAGGCAGATGTGAACTTTGAGGTTTGGCAGGGAGGGAAGGAGGAAGAGCTGCAGAAGTGGGTGCGTGATGGATCAGCGAGGATCACTGGTAGCCACTCGATGTTGGCCTATGATGGCATACACACCCTCAAGCATACCATCGAGCGCTTCCCTGAAGCGGAGTTCTACCAGTACCTTCAAACCCCACAGATGCAATGGGTCTTTGCGAGTCATTCATTCCAAAAAGGGGAGGCGACTGCAGATCCTGTCGGCCTGTGTTCAAATCCGGCATGGAATTGCACCAACTTTGTCTGGCAGCCTCCATTGTGTCGGAATGGCACAATGCGTTGCTTGGGACAAGTCTTGCATGATTATCCTCACTACACCCAAGGAGTGATTGAGCAGCAAATTGCAAACAATGGTCTGCCACTCTCTACAGTCTACTTGACGCCTCTGTCTAAGCAAATCGCTGTTTGGAATGCCTTTGCATCCAAGAAGGACATCCTCTTTCAGCACCACTCTCCCTCAGAAGGAGTTGATGGTGTCCCTCGTTCTGCCTTTGTACCGATTCAGTTCTCGCCAACTAGGTATGGATGCAACGCAATCGAGAATTCTTCTCCCAACGGTGGCTTCAGCTGTAGACTAGAGGCAAAACGATTGCTTAAAGTGGCCTCCTCCACGTTTATGGAGTCAGGAGATGCCAGTTATTTTGCCGAGAGGTTCAACCTGAATGAAGACAGCTACAATCGACTTTTTGATTTGTGGCGAGTGCATGATGGTGATGCCTACTCAGCTGCTTGCGGCTGGCTCAAAGAGACAGGAAGCTCTAAATGGGGAAGCTGGATTCGATTCAGTAAGCAGGTGCGCTTCATTCGTGAATTCCCTCCCACCAACGGGTGCTTTCCAGTATTTTACCTGTTCTTGATCTCGGCTTTGGCTATGGCTTTCATGCATCAAGTCTTGCCTGGCTGCTTTCGAGCTTTCAGACAAAAATGCAAAAGGAGACAAGACAAAGGTGCCAAGGATCCGAATTGGGAGCCCACAGACCTTAGTGACATTCAACGGCGAATGAATGACCGTGCCAACTACACATTGCCAGATTTCACCTCAAAGCTTGTGGCCTGCAGAAGTTCGTCCTTTGTTGAAGTGAAGATGGCTTTGCTGCGAGGCTCCATGGGTTTCATGAGCTTCTTCAGAGATGAAGAGGATTTCTGCAGTGATGTTGGCCAAGGAATGCTACCTCCAGCTGCTTCATCATGCTTTCGCCAATACTTCCAAACCAGCTTGCAAGTTCTGGTTTATATTCTCACGTCTGGTCTGGCTCACATTGCAGCAAGTGCTCTCATTTTTGCCCTTGCAACAGGCATGGTGGGTGCTCTTTTGGCTGAAGTTCGGGCAACCATTGAAAAGAACAAACAGGTTGATCCTTTGCTGCAAGTTGAAGCCTGGTACACGACGTGGCTCTCAAAAATGCAGACGGTGACAGTCTTGATGGATGACTTCAAGTTTCTGCCAACCTTCTTCATAACCTACATGATTGGACAAGATGTGAGTCGATGGCTTCAGTGGTTGCAAATCATGTTCAAGGTACAAGGCCGACTACATGACGTAGCTCTTGTGGTGGCGAGCTCGTATCGGAATATTAATGATCCTTGCAAAGGGAAGCTACAGAGACAAACACTTTTCAAATGGTACAGATACATCAATTCCATTCACTACATGGGCTATTTCAAGCTTGCACCAAGCATAGGAACCTCCGCAGATGGAGTTCTACAGGACCTCCGCACAGTTGGCTTGCTAAAGGATTCAGAGCTCCTTTGCTGCACATTCTTGAAACACTTGAAAACACACTCTTGATATTTTTAATATATTGATATATATATATATATTGATACATGTTCCATCATGTTTCTTGGTTTCAACATGGTTTAAAAGAACACTTTGAGACAAATCAAGGTGTCAGCAACTTCAATTTGCGACTGCAAAATTGCGGGACACTTTGGTCTCTTGGCTGGGCCATTTGTGGCATGAGGAGCTTGAGCGGGGACAGGTTCAGAGTGTCGACTCAGATGTCTTCATGCGAAAGGTCTGCGAGTTACGCGGAGTTTTGGCACAGCTCAGCGATATGCAAGACATGCAGATCAGCCAAATGGTTCGCGTCATGATGGTTGTCGTGACCAATATACTGCTTGGATTGGCCCTGATTGGCTACCCAACTAAGATGTATGAAGAAACGACTGAATGCTTCCAGTTCTGGCCGCTGGTGGCATCCTATCTCTATTTCATTTGCTATAGAGGAATGCTTCATGTCATGTTCATTCTGGACAAAGGACCATTCTATGCCAAAGGTGACTGTGTGAACATCGATGCCTTGTTGGTCAGCACCGAGCGATTCGTTTTTCACGTGTTTCGTACCTTCTTCAGGGGTCAGCAAAAGCATATGCCGCATTCAATGCTGCAGTGTGATCAGCCTTTCATGCCTGAAGATGTGTAAGCTTGGACTTTGCAAATTGTAATTGAACATTGGATGTGTAAACATTGTTGCATGCACGCAACGAAGATGCGATGCAACGCACAGTAGTTTTTCGACTCGAGCTTGTCAGTCAAACACCATGACCCAGTGTCCTCATACCCTCAACAGTACCTTGTCGCCGTAGCCAAAGCGTTGTTGCTTGATGCCTAGAACCGAGCTTGAGTGCAAGCCGCTTCCTAAGTTGCTTTGACAACAGGATGAATTGATCAACCTCCAAACTTGCAAAAGCAGAAGTTTGTATAGCCTGCATGCTGCACAGATGCTTTCCTGAGCAGGCCCAATTTTGCTCAGCCAATTTTACTTTCGGCGGGGACACCAGCTTGTGGAGCATAGCCAGAAGAGTTTTGAGTTTTCCTTGCTGGATCCTCATGATAAAATTCAAGAGAAGCCTCTTGCTGAACGCCAGTGAGATGCTGACTTCTGCGTTCCTTGATAGACTAGAATACGTTTAAGTACGCCGCAAAGGCACTCCACGTAAAATGAAAAGCAGGTGTAATTCTGGATCGTCACGTTTGTGGTTGATGGCTTGGTCAAAAGGGGAAGGCAAGAATCGCTCAGCTGATGTGAGTTTTGCCTAGCCAACTGGGCTCGGAGGGAGGCAAGCATTGCGCTTGCCTCCTGTGTTAGATCCCTTCCGCTTCAATGACGCGAGTGCCACTCTCAGACTCATCAGTTCGGTCAAAGAATGCCTTACCAGTAAGTTATTTAGTTATTTATATAAGTTTCCTTAAACATCTAGGAACAAGACGCTACTAGGGGCTCCTGGCATCGCTACTAGGAGCAAAGACGCTACTAGGGGCTCCTGGCCGTACTACTAGTAACAAGAACGCTACTAGGAACAAGACATTTCTACTAGTGCGAGCGTGTCTTCAAGGAAGCTCCCCCGGCCCCGCAGGTGGGGAGAGCTTCCTTGAAGAAGCGTGAGCTATCCTGCATCCTAGCTGGGAGCGAACTTCTCCTAGTAGCCTACTTCTCCCTTACTTAATTAAGTAGGAGCGGGCTTAAAGAGACTAACTATTAGGCTCAGATCAGTAGGCTCCTCAAAGGATCTATTAATGTGCGCGATGCCGCCAACTAAGATGCTCCATGTCGCCCTCTTCCTCGGTGTTTGGGGAGAAGCTCAGGCGTGATGCAGAAGTACATGAACTACATAATAGATATAACCTCCGTCAGGTCCAGAGGGCAGAATTGTAGGATTATAGGCAGATCTGATGTGTGGTGAGTGAAGGCATGTGGAAATGTGGTCATTTTGCTACACCTTTTGCCACATGCACGTACCCTGCCTGCATTCCATTCCTCCGACAACCACGATACCAAGTCCTACTTGGACCCAATGCGGCATGACGACAGGTCGTCCAGACGTGTGGCATCATGCGTTTCCGAAATACCAAGATCCGCGATACCCACAAAACGATACAAAGAACACCTCTCGCGTGACTCAGCTCCACCAATATCTTTCGCTATATCAACAAATTAAAAGCAAGCAGCTGAATTTGACCCCATGCCGTCCCAGCACATTCCCGAGGGCATCCCACCCACCGAGCAATTTTCTTTGATTGGAATTTCACAAGTTTCACAATGTACCTTTGCGCATCAGCTGTCACTTGTTAGTTTTAAAGCAGCTAAAATGAACACTGCAGCGGCAGTCCATGTGTGTTTGTGGTTGTTTGAATCGATACTCATCAATCACATGAAATCGTATCAACATGGACGGTATTTTTCCCCAACCATGAGGCGTTCCAAGCGACTTGCCTGGCTTCGGTGGACATGGAATGACGTGCAAATTTTATTGTATTAGTTGTTTGCTTTTGGTGTGTACGAGTAGTTGCTGTATAGCGAACAGTGAGCACAGGCACACACTGCAGAATATTTACATACCACACACACACACTACTGTAGGCAAGCCATTAGTAAGTATGTGATTGTAAGAGAAAGCTTTCAATGATTTTCAATGTGTTTCTTTATTTCGATCTCAGGCCATTCTTCGAGGCCAGCTCCAAGCTTTGTGAGTGCAGATATGTGATGCTGTGTTTCCTTCTATTTCTCCAAGGAACGAGGTGACGAAACCTGGCCGGAACAAACCATTGATAGCACTTGGTGCACAGGTCGTGGGACCAATGTTTGGGTTTGGGGATGAATGGTGCACTCGCCCAACCCAAAGTTCCAATGTCCTTTGGAGGCAAAGTTAGTTTGACCATCCCCTTTATGGTAGCATGATGTGGCATGCATTGCCTTGTGCACTACTGTATGCGTATACTGTAGGTTCCTAAGTGCAGTAGTGACCGTGACCCTGATTTCCAGGTCCAAGATCAGGTGAAGAGGCCAAACTTTTCCGGATGCGAAATGTTCGATTTTACACCACCTGGCAGCAACGGAGACAAATGGCACGACAAATGTCAATTGCTTTCCAGGTGCAGAGCCACTGGGAAGGAATGCATCGAGTATTGTCACGTGTGGAAGCATCCCTCTCGGGCCTGTTTGCCGTTGGGAAGGCCATGCTGGTAACTTGTACTTGTTTGTTTTGAGTGTCCGAGAGTAGAGACATTTGCACTTGGTACTCCATTGCATCCGACAAGGATCCAGCCAATTCAACAGCTGGGCTTCCAAGCATAGCTGAAGGCAGCTCTGTGAGAACGCAAATCTTGTCCATCAACAATGGATCCAATGCAACAAATCTCAGCACGCATCAATCCATACAGACTCAGACGAACCAGGGCAATGTCACGGTGGAGATTGAATCTCGTGATGTCACCCTGAGCAATGGCAATGCTTCATCTCCAAAAGCCAAAGTCATTGCACCTCCATTGCAGCCAAGCAAAGATGACTTTGTGGTACAGATTCGATCAGTGGAGCGTGTTGACGGCAAGAAGCCAATTAAGCCGAATCACAAAAGCTCAAAGAAAGCCAGTGAGACCGATGAGATCAGGAAAGCTTCTGCCCGGGAGAAGCGCTTGGATATTGAGGTCCGAACAGTCACAGAGACTCCCCAGACACACGAAGTGCCAGCTGCTCGGCGGGAGTACAACAGCAAGATGTGGGCAGATGACTGGGGTGCTTCTCTCAGTGGTTACCTACTTCTTTTGCTTTCCTACTTCTTTTGCTTAAGTTAGATTTAGATTTGTATGCCTTTTTGCCCTTGAGAGGCGATGAGTGGAGATCCAGTGCTCGCAGCCCAGAGACTGAAAAGAAGGACAGCGTAAGTTACCGCAGTTACTGTACTGGTCATGAAATACATTCGTAAAGGAACCTTCATGCTGAATGTTTTTTTTTTAGGAGCTCCCGGTCTATGAGCAGTCCTTTCGGGGTTGATGGGCCACAGTGTGGAGCAGTGGAGCACTGGATGAAATGTAGGACCAAAAGAAGCTTTGACTATCAACAGACTGCTTGGATCATTGTGATTTGTGGAGATACTGAGCGAACGTGCTGAAACATATCATGTTTGATGAATTCCTCCCCATTCGGCTCAAGCATGCGGTTTGTTGTTTTCTGTATCTTGCTTGGCATTGATGAATTCCAGGCTTGGCCTCTTGGTGCCCATTTTGGGGATTTGTCGAAACACACCCAAGCCTTTGAGGCTTCGTCTCTCGGTTTGCCCTTTCAGTGTTTGGATGGATCTGTCACTCTCCTTTCAAGTGATGTGAATGACAATTTCTGCGACTGCCCTGATGGATCTGACGAACCAAGCACTGCCGCCTGTGCTGGGCTGAGCAACCTTGGGTTCTACTGTAGAAATCTTGGATCTGCACCCAAGTGGCTCTACGCATCGCGCGTCAATGATGGCGTTTGTGATTGCTGCGACGGAAGCGACGAGCCACCATCAGGATGTCCAAGTTCCTGTGACAAAGAGGGCCCAGCAGTGCTGGCCAGGTTGAAAGCAAGGCAACAAGAGGTGCGCCAGGGCCAGCTGCTTCGCAGGCAATACGAAGATGAGGGCCTCCAGCAAGTAGTGCACTGGACTGAAGAGAAGGAACGATGCAGAGCTGAGCCTTCCAAACAACCTTTTATGGTGTATCCGGTGTCCGTCCGGGTATCCGACTTTCTTCTCCAAGGTCCATAATTAATTAGTCTAGATATATATTATATGTAGTCTTAATACTGTAAACCACTGTTTCCATCATGCCTTTCTTGTTCTTGATTGCAGTCTGAGCTTGCCTCAAGTCCCAACCAAGGGCTTGCAGCAGATGTTGCTGACCTAATGACCGTGCAAGTTGGCGACGCGCAGTCTTCACCTGACAGAGCCTTTGTAGGGTGTAGTTCCACTTCCACTGCTCCATTCTATACAAATGGACATGACAAAGAGCAGAGGAAGGATGTCTCGGAATATACTCGCTGGGCACTGCCGGTCTCAGAAACTGGGCCCCATCGAAGCTCCCAAAGCGTTGAGTGCTGGGTGGGCGAATTTATCAACGCAGAGAGCTTTTGTTGTGATGCTTCTCAAGGACCTCAGGGGCGACAAGAATGTTGGGATGAAGTTTATACCTTTCAGTCCTGCTGCAAGACCTGGCAACGCCAAGTCTTGCCGACGTTTGAAAGACAGAGTTGGTCGACGTCGGAGTCAGTCTCACCTGAGAGACGTTTTGAGCCGAAGTCGTCGAAGTCAGTCTCCAGAGAGATGCGACAAACGAAAGGTCGACTTTTCAGCTTGGAGAGCAAACTAAGGGCAGTGGAAAGGAGTCATCGATGGTTCTACTTGGCTGACACATGTTTGACACGCCAAACGCACCGTCGGCACACTGAACTCAGTATTCCTGGTGCTTCTTCGGAGCGAGTGGACTTTAAGCTGTGTCTCTTCGGTGATGTGCGCTTTGGATCCGTGAACTATGGAAGTTTTGACGGCTGGGACGGAGAGCATGGCCTGCGCTACAGTCGGGGTCAGCATTGTCCAGGTGGGCCGGCAAGGTCACTGAAAATTTGCCTTCTGTGTGGAGCAGAGACAGAGATGCTCAGAGGCAAGTCAGCCAAGTAGAATAGTTGTTGAAAAACATCTCCGATAAATACAATTAAAAAAAAATATATATATAAATTTATCAAAGGAAGTTTAGTGTACGAAACTTCCGTGTTACGGACATTCAAGAACTGTTCATACACCACTCATCAATACACTACTCATCATACGCCACTCATCAATACATCACTCATCATACACCACTCATCATACACCACTCATAATACACCACTCAACATACACCACTCATCATACACCACTCATCATACACCACTCATCATACACCACTCATCATACACCACTCAACATACACCACTCATCAACACACCACTCATCATACACCACTCATAATACACCACTCATCATACACCACTCATCATACACCACTCA